GGAATGGGCTAAAAGTTGGATTACATTGTTTTAAATGCTCTGTTTACAATTATGAGAAAACCCCGCTCAGTCCCCTGCCTGAGTAAACATCCTTGGGGTGTTGCCATCACTTGGAAATAATAGGGATTGTATATACAATACATCCCCAGATCTACATGGTATGGGGACAAAGAAGCAACAGTAACTGCTAGCAACACATTTACTGCATATTTGTTTTATCAATGATTCTTCTAGCAAAAGCTGAAGTCACTGTGTCTATATGGAAGCACCAGCAGTTCTGGGGAGATTTTTGTTTAAAATGAATAATATCACTGTTAAAGATGCTGTTGCCACTTTGCTGAAGGCACACTGCGAATCTGCAAAGTTACACTGGCACCATAAATGACAGCAAGATTGCAGTTTAAAAGATGGGAATCTTGAAAAGGGCAGAAAGAAATTACATTTATTATTAAGAAGAGAAAGCTACAAACATCTCATTCCATGCTTTGCGTTATTTGCTGAATATTATACGACTCGGAAGCCTGCCCAACTGTTTCAATTTACAGAAGGAACTCCAGTAGGGCCCAAAAATCAGGGCAATTCTGAGGCGATGCTTGAACAAACATTACTTTGTTTTCTGTTGTTTACAGATAGCTTTTCAGGCCACATCACTACCCTTGCTGTTACTTCACACAAATCTCAGAGGCCTTTGCTACAGCAAAGATTCTTCTTTCTTTGTCAGAATTAATCAAATGAAAACCATCTTTGGTAGGGCATTGACAATGCACGAAGCAGGTTCATATGTGCAGTCTTTTTTGTAGCTTCATCTAATTAACAGGAACAGTGATGTCGGTAACAGAGGAAGGTAGTACTGCCCCAAATGCCTTTTGGAGAGACAAAGACTAGAAAGACAAGCAGCTCTGCCTCCAGGCTTGTTTAACCCCTTTTGCCTCCCTCCAGGCTCTACAGCTGCTCTTGTGTGTTACAGCACATCACCCACTAGACAGATACTTGTTGAGCAACTTGCTGGACTGAGGGCACAGACTAATTTCATGCTGGCTTTGAACAGACTGGGCAGCAGGGTTAGTAAGACTCAAGGCAAGACCGAACATACGCTGCTTGTCCACACAAACAGGATTTTTTCCTACCACAGAGCACCAAGGCTAATCTGTTCTCAGTGCGGTGCACAGCGGAGCCTGTCAGGCGCTCTCTTCAGTTGGGCACCACAGAAAAGGAAAACCAAACCAGGTTAAAACAAACACAGCTTCTTCCAGGCTCCCTCAAAGCCTCCTTCTGTCTGTAATCTCTTAACTCTGGCAAATTAAACAAGCATCCAGGTGTGTTATTTTAAAACTTTAGACCCTGGTAGTGTGAAGCTGTGGGGTGTGCAGGCAGCAATGCTGAGCGAGGGAGCTACCGAGAGTGACCACGTTCCAGCCAGCCGCTGGCTCTCTCCTCCCCATCCCAGCATAGGTTTTTCACTGGGACTGCTTTTACTTTCTGAAGCAACCCACTCTGAATGCCAGACCAGAAACAACTCGCCTCACCTCACCTAAGAAAATATTTTTATTTTCAATATGTGGAAATATAACTTTTTCTTGGGCTTTGGAAGAGTACTCACAACAAAGGATTTTTCAGCTCCTGAAAATGTGGATGGCTATTTTGGGACAAACAGTTCCTTTTGCCCCCCAAATCTCTTTGTCAATATGAGAAACCAATGCACATCTGCATCAAGTTTCAGGTTTGGCACACTGGAGCCTTCTCACAATAAAAGAAGTTTTGTAAAAGGTTTACCCTGGATTGCTCATGCAGCATGAGGGGGTCACAAAAGCAGTGTCCCCAGAGAGACCAGCTTTCCTGTCTTGTAGCACGCCCACACAGCAAATTCTGGTGAAATCCACAACTAAAAACAGAACCCAAAAAAACCCTCTAGGGCCAATCTGCCATCCTCCCCCACAGCCCATCAAATTGAACATGTTAGTTGCAAGTACAGACATATGGGATGGACTTGAAGTGGTCATTTTCCTGCAGATCAATTTTATAAACTCTGCCTCCCTGGAAGAGGCATTCCCACATCAATTCAGCTCTCCAAGCCAGAGGGATGAATCCAGCATTGCTGCAGCAGGCTGTCACTAATAGGCACAGGCCTGTATAATTTTGATTTAAATAATTTGTATAGTATTGAGCAGATACCATTTATTATTTTCAACACTCTGACCAATTAACATGCATCATGTTGCCCTGTTTCTTATTGTGCAAATATTTGACACAACCTGCCCTGCGCAGTTTCATGTATCTGATCAGGTTAATCACATACACCCTTCAACTGACAGACAAAACCTCAAACGGGACACTTCCACTCTTGAAAGGTCCACAAATATCACAGGTCCCTTCCATCTGAACTAAGATAACGAGGTTAATTTCCTTTCAGTGAGGTAAATGGACTCTCTCAGAACAGTCCCTCAGAAGATGTTTTTGTAGATACTGCCTTCTCACTCAGTTATTTGTGGTACAACACCTACACAGAGACACAGCTGGCTAGAACTTGTAAGAGGAGTTTATTCCCAGTTGTATGCTGTTCTCCTGTGAGATCTTTATCTCATTATTACCTGAGGTGGGATGATGATATTTACCCATGGGGGAAGTGCTCTGAGACGGAGACAAAAGTATGATGATTACAGGATAACCTTGGAGGCTTACTTCCTAGATTACAGTTCCCATAACGTTCCCATCCACTTGGCACTTATAGTTTCATTGTAATGTTAGACTGAGCACTGACAACACTGAAGAAAGCTTCTCCATGTTTCAGGATCTGAAGCACCTGTTTTAAACTGTAAGCCTTCTAGGTTTTCTCTGTGAAGAGCATGTAACATAGGGGCAGTGATGGTACCCAAGCTAAAATTCACCTTATCCATCTTAAGCTGTTTCGAAAATGAGCATCCACATTAAGCAAACCATCACTGCTTTCTCTCTGAGTGATGAAGAGGGACAAGGCACCTCTAAATGATAATTTCTAGCTTTCCAAGATCTTTAGCATGAACCAGCTTTCAGGTGATCCCATGGAAAGCCCCTAAGCAGCTGTTCTGTACCGTACAACGGACTTCCACAGGGCCAGTGCTCTGGCAAGTCCCATATCCTCCATCTACCACAGCTCCCTCTGGGACTGACTGTCCTTCTACTGAAATAGCAAGAGCAAGGGCGGCAATTTCTTACAACCTTCTTATTACCATCCAGTGTTGAATCACTAGAAGATATACAAATGTGGGACTATAAAACCTTACGAAAGTGCGTCCCATCACAACTGGATTCCTGTACTCCTTCTGAACCAGTCCAGCACAAAGTGCAGGCAATTGGAAATACAGTGCCAGTTGTCTTCAAGCAGTGCTGCACGTTACCCTTAGCAGTAGGGATCCAGGATCTTGCAATCAAAGGAAGGAGGCGCAGAAAACAAGCACACACATTGCAGCAGGAGGTGACAGTAAACAGAAAACCTCTCAGTCCTCACAGAGAGGTTTTTATTAAGGACAGCTAAAATCAAAGCTCCTTTTAACTTGGTTTTAAATACTTCATTCCCTTGGCACCTTCTTCAAAAGCACAGTTACAAACCCAGGAGAGCACAGGAAAAGGAAAGTGATTTCAGTTTGTAACTCTCCCTTCCCCTTGCCTATCTCTTTTTGGCTGTATTTAAGTCTAGTCACAGAAAGTTATTTTTAAGCAGGTTTAATTTGCAGAGAATGTGTAATCAGTGATGTTCCTCAAAAAAGACTGCCAGTCTTATTGGTGTATCCACACCCCAAGTGCTCACAGAGGGGAGAAAAGATAACCCTCCCTTGACATAAAAAACCAAAATAAAATAATAAAAGGCCAAAAGAGAAGGAGAGAAGGAGCAGGTTCCAAAACAGGTTTCATTAATAGTGGCTGTATCTTAAATCTTGAAGTACAAACACAATCTAAAATGAATTTACCCCAAGGAAAAAGAAAACACACTAAATTCCCCCTCCCTCCTTTCTCACCTCCTGAGCCTTCACTTACTTTCTTTCAGTGTCGGGTGTTGACGCGGTGCTGCTAAGACCAAGTGACTCCTGCAAGAGAAGACACATAGCAATGAGAGCAGACACAAGAGCAGCCTTTGCCCAGTTATGCAGAATATCAAATTAAAGAACAAACAAACAAAAAGGGATGCTCCAAATCAAAGTCCTTACCTCAATCTGGGATCGCAGCTGTAGAGATGTGGGGCTGGCATCAGGTTTCTCCTAAAACAGAACAGATGTCAGGTTAATGAAATATACAAACACTAGAAAGAAGAAATCTGAAGGAGAGAAAAAGAGAAGAAGAAACTGGGTAACAGAAACTAGGACCACCTCAAAACCATTAAAATAGGAAACATTAACCTCTCCAGGAGGAACTCCAGTAAAACAGCTCATGCCATCCTTATCACTGAACAATACAGAAGGTAAAATTGCCAGACAGAAGTGATTCAAAACATAACAGAAATGTGTTCTTTTCACTAGATCATCACACAATTTATTAGAGAAGTTCAAGTGCAATTTCCCAAAATTTACCCTTGGGAAGAATATATAGACAAAATCTGGCATTAAAACAGCATTCTCAGAGCTAAAAATACTCTCAAGATTCTAACACATTTCAGCAAGGCCTGTTTCTCACACACAGATTTGTCAACAGGATGAATTCAAATTGCCTTCCTTCAAACATCTATGATATAACTGTCCACTACAAGACCTGATCATCCAGGTTCCCTTTGCAGTCAATGAAGAGAGACAGGATGAGGGGTAACAGTTTTAAGCTGAAAGAGGGTAGACTTACAGATTAGGAAGAAATTTTTTCCAGTGCGGGTGGTGAGGCAGTGGCCCAGGTTGCCCAGAGAAGCTGTGGATGCCCCATCCCTGGAGGTGTTCAAGGCCAGGCTGGATGGGGCTTTGAGCAACCTGGGCTAGTGGAGGGTGTCCCTGCCCATGGCAGGGGGGATAGAACTGGATTATCTTTAAGGTCCCTTTCAACCAAAGCCATTCTGTGACTCTTAACTCTTACAGAACAACTTGCCTGACGGGTTTCAGCTGCCTCAAGTTAGATGAAGCGAGTTGCACTGGTGGTATCTAATTTAAGATTGCAAGCCAGCTGCCTAAAAGGCACCTGCTATTAACAACTCTAGCTGAAGTCAGTGGGAAAACTCTAATTAGAATTGAGGAAGAAATTACAGTTGTCAGTACTGAGAACTGCACTTTGCTGGTTGATCTGTATGTGAAGTCATGGGGGAAACTACTTACAGCTATTTTATTCTCAGCCAGTCCTACTCCTAATGAAGTTATTGCAAAGTCAGTACTGCAACCGAAAGGCCATCATAGCTGAGTAAGCAACCACAGTAGTATACGCCCTCCAAAAAAAATTAAAAAAGGACATGGATTTATTTCTCAATACTGGAGGTCTTTTTGTTCACACATTCCTCAGTCTACATGTAAATCTCTTATCTCTGTGAAATTGTACTTCCTATGCCCTTTGTTTACAGAAAGAGTGACAAAACGTTCCCAAGATTTAACACAAAAAAAAAGAAAACCAGACACAATTTTCTGGAAATGCGGCCTTTTAATACTAAACAGGAAATTAGCACTGACTGCCACAAAGCCGTGCTGGATTAGCCCACCCAGAAAGTCTGCGAGACCTAGAGTAGCGAGGAGCCTACTCTGCCATCACAGGAGTGCGATGAGTCGGCTTGCACTGCTGGCCACAGCAGCCAGCGGGCACAGGATGGCTCACGGCCATGTGCTTGCTTGTAAACAGGGCTGACACACGGTCATTGCCCAGATGGGAGATTTTGCCTGACCATGCATGGTCTGCATATCTGCTTTTGCTGATCTTTTTCGATAGCATGAAAAGGCAACCAGACAGATCCAACAGGACTCCTCCAGCCAAACAGAAGCTAGACCTAGCCCAGGGAAACTCCACAGATATTCACAGATCAGGACAGTGAAATTAGCTATTTGGCACTAGGCACCCCTCTCTTTCCCCATCAGCTCCGTCAAAATGGAATCCAAGAAAGTCTTGCATCTGGAAAAGACTGCAGGCACATTGCTGCAAATCTTCCTCAGGCACTCTCCCACCCCTGCCTAGCAGTCCACGAGGAAGGAGGGAAAGACAAGCCCCACGCTCCAAACACTTCCAATTCACGAGTGCCTTGTTTGTCCACACACTGCTGCACAGATTTAAAAAAAGAAGTATTTTATCAGCTATCCCATCTTTAAGTTTTATGTAGCCAGTCAGGAGAATCCACTGTGTCCCCAACATGCCTCTAGATCTCAACTTTCTCACATTTTATCTGTTTCCTTAAAAAGCTGCTTGCTGCAAGTGCTTTTTTGTTTTTTGTTTTTTGTTTTTTGTTTGTTTGGTTTTTTTTTTAATATGCTAGGTTTTGTAAACTACCATTTACAAGATGCTACCTGGGTTCCCAAGGCTTTATAAAAGTCTTTTGCTTGAGCAGTTGCTTGTGAACTTGTAGCCTGAGATTACAATTAGATGGAAAGTTACTACTTTCAGCCTAGAACTATTCAACTGAATAGCCGGCTACATCCCATGTAACAAAATCCTAAAAAAGCTGACTGTATTTGCTTTCTTTTTTCTCATTTACTGTCAAGCCCACCCTGTTAGAACAGGAACGGTTTTATAGGATCAAGATGACTTTGGAGGACAGAGGCAAGGACAGCTCTCCTCTCCCTCCTCAAAAGCTCTACTTTGCAATGATGGAATGCAAAACACCTGATAGTCCTGTACTGTTGTGATTAACATACCTTACCTACCTGCCTTTCCAGTAGAATGATATTTTTCCTATTATTAGACAAGAAACCAAAGGAAAATACTTGGGAAAATACTACTCTTGACTGAACTTCTGGCATAGATCTCTAACACAGATCTTCAAGCAGTTCTATTTATTTAGGTTAAAATGCATTAAACCTCACATTAAAATCCACAGGTTGTGCTGACTTTAATCCAGGAGGATCAGGGCCTTTTTTATACCAAGGGCTAATTCTAGAAGGTTGAACAAATGTTGTACCATTGGCATGCTCTCAAGCATGCTAAAACATCTTTCCAAAGAATATTTTCAAAGATTAGTTTCATGAAAGTACATCTTCCACCCCTCTGAACCAAATCTTAAAAATTCAGTAGAGGAGAGCCTGGGTTTATAGAAACATCCACTGCAGTAACAGACATCCCCATCCTGCATTTCCAGGACTCTGGTCTAGACAAAGCAGGCATCAGAGCAACAGGCATTTTCCATCCCAGCAGTCTGCTACCCTAGATAACTGCTCTCAACGTGTGCCCATAAAGCTTGTCTGAGGTGTAGCAGACATTCACGCCACCTATACACTATGCAGGGTTGGTGCAAAAAACCCCAATGATCTGAGAAAGTACCCAATCAAGTGCTGATGTGATTAAATTCAGTGCTTCCCAAAAGTGTCTGACTTACACAGTTTCCAGATTTAAGGGGCCCTGCCTGAGTCACTCATCCTGTACCCAGACGCTGTTGGTGCATATTGCATACGTCCAATACCGTGTTAAATCACAGCAACTAAGATCTGACAATTCTAGGGAAATGGAGATACTCATGAATTGTATCCAACCCCCAGGGAACACAATAGGGGGATGGCAAATGGCGGCTTAGCACCAGCTTGCCCACCTCCCCTTGACGTACAAGGTTAGCAAAGCACAGAATCTCAAATACAGATAATAAAGCCAGAAGGAGCTGTTAAAAATTAGTAATGCTAATATACTGTAGAGTGAAGCCCATTGAAATTAAACTAGGGATTCCTCTATCAAGTCACCTACAGACAATTTAAAACAATCTCAACTTGGAGAAACATTTTGTTCACCCAGCTTTAAAGCCATATTCTTGGCAGTCCTATTTCCTTCCTGTCTCCTGCCAGGATCAAAGAGGATGGCCACAGGACAAGGCCTGGGGTCCTGGGTGAAGCTGTGATCCAGCAGCTAGAGGAAGGGAAGGTCCGCAGGCGCCGCGCTGCCCAGGTACCCCCGGTATCACCAGCCCTGCTGCACTGCGGGCGCTGCGGAAAGCCACTGCAGAGGTGAACTGGTAAGGCTTGGGAGTTCTGGCGCAGAAGTACGAATTGGCAAAGTGCTTTTGACAAATCTCTCACTTCGAAAGAAAACACGAGTTGTAAGCTTAACAAGCAGGATTTGTGACTTATGCTTCAAGCCTCAAGTTGTTTGCCCCAGGGCTCAAGAAAGAAGCTTTCTTCACAGGCCACTCTCCTGCTTACTTTGCGTGATTTATGTGATCCCTTGGATACATTTTCTTTTCAAATTATTGCAGACTTCTAAGTATCGCAATTTTGGTTATATATATTACCTTCCTTTTAAAATTCTTCAAAACAGTTTTACAATCATTTGTGAGCTAAGCCTGAAAAACTCATACATGAAGAAAGTACAAAGCACAAAATAGTGCTGGAAGAAGCTGGAAACACATTTCCTGACTGGAATGGCTGGTTTTGAATTCATGAGGGCCTCTTCCTCCTGTGATAACTTCAGTTCAGTTGTTCTGTATGTAACATAACAGATAAGGACATCTCCACCTGTCTGAAGGTATTGCTGTTCTGCTCCTGAAATACACAAGCACAGAAGAGAAGAGCATCCAAAAGGAAACCTGGGCACCTAGGGCAGGGCTCACACATTCTAGGGAATCATTGAGGTTGGAAAACATATTTTAATTACCTAAACATTAAGCTTCATCTCATGCTCCACACCACAGCTTAGTGAGTTTAGGAAATTATATTCATTGAATGAATCCCTTCTAATCAGAAATTCATGAACCTCTTCACAGTTTCTGCCACAGGAGCTGTATCCATTTGAATTATAAATTTAAACACTCCTCTGCAGATCCCAAGACAGGATTAATCTCACTGTGCTGACAGCAGATGTGCAAAGTGAGACCCGAGTGAGTGCTGGGAAAATTCAGTGACGTAACTGGTGGAAAAGGAGACAGCTAAAATGCTCATATTTATAAATAATTTTATGAAACCATTTTACCAGGTGTAAATAAGACACCTACAGAAAACTTCTGTGAGAAAATTCAGGCAGTCTCTTCCCCCAAACATTTTCCCTGTTTCCTCTGAATGCGCACTGCATGTTCTAGTCTAGCTTCTGAAACGATGAAACAAAGCTACATCTGAAAGACAGCCAGAGCACTGAAGGTCTCCAAGAGTTTGTCTTATTTTGAAAGCAACCA